TGAAAGAGTATCCATAGCATCTAAGAAAACTTTATCCGTGAAAATTCAGTTTAAAGGAGATGCTGTAGAGTAAATTTTGAAAAGCGAACTATGATGATTAGAAGTATTCAAGTTATTGTACTAACTAGGAATTCTGGAAATATTGCTATTTATTGTAACTAGAACTAGATGAGCAAAACGAACGTATTGTATTTGGAATTCACAATCAATGGTCATGTACAAAAGAATCACTAGTTTGTACAAATACCACACGGACTTGCCAGAACTATGAGTAAAACACCTTAGTCGGCAGAACTTCGTGTTATCTTTTCTGATCAACCTGTGATTTTTAGTTGTGTGAAAAATAAGCTCCCGCTTTGTGCCGAATCAATGTACATCTATCAGTTTACTTGCTCATGTGGAGCAGACTATATTGGCTGCATAAGATGAACGCTTTCAAAATTCATCTCCAAACATTACAGAAATTAGTCAAAATTTCATTTAGTTAATTCTGTTCACTCCACTTCACGAGAATCCTCTATCAAAATCATACACACGGTCAGAAGAGCCAACTCAAGTGGAATGAAAATTAAAAATGTATTTACAGCAAAGAATATGGATGGTTGTTACATAACTCCCCTTCAGTATCTGATTTTCGTAAACAATTTAAGACAAGATATAATTTCAAGTTTTTAAACATTGAACACCATTCTGTTTTATTACAGACTACTGTTTTAGCAAATAAAGTTAACTATCAATATTATTGTACAGCTTAAGTAAATGAAATCATTAGAATGAAAAATTTTCTTCAATAATACAAAGGGTCTCCTTTGTTAACTGAAAACAAGCAAGGAATTGTAGTGGCCTACTTTTATCAAGAGAACGCGTTAGGTTTAATGGAAACAATCGTTATTAGAACCAATTGTACCAGTGATTGTTTTGCTTTGCTCGTTTGTTTAACTGTGCTAAAGGCAGCCATATTCCTACTCCATTACTTTCCTGTAGACTGTGACCTTGTACGCCTGTACTCTTGCCCACTAATTCCGCCTGTATTCCTTTTGGCACGATCTCGGTATTCGTTCTATACCACGAGATCGCCAACGAAATAAATCTGGTTACGCCTTCTGGTAGGCGCTTTCTTGTAGTGGTGTTCATAGTCAATCGAAACTCGACTCCACGCTACAGAATTAAGGCAAAATTAGGTGAATATAACTATTGGATATTCTAATTAAAGACTTGTCAGTATAAGGGTTGTGGAGATTATCAAGTTTTTGATCTCACGTGAAAGCCACATGATTGTCTACACTGACAATTTGATACGCAGTACTTCTGAAGAACACGCTTAGGCTGAATATAGGATAGTATATTTAATGTGACTAAAGACAAGTTATACAGAATGACCATGTCTGCGAGGCTAAGCCATGCCATCCGATTGATTGGATTCAATATGTTCCCGCGTTCATTGTTGTTGACCTTTCCTTTGTGTCAGTTGTTAAATATAAATCTCAGTAATTATATACTCGACTTCAATGGTCGTGTAATTAGGGTCCAGTGCCACTACAAATCAACCTGGAATCAGGTAAAATACAGTCATTAGTTCATACAAACGCCACATCCGCCACAGTCTAAATTGGAATCCAAGTCTCAGTAAACAGTTGAACATCTCCTTTGGTTCATGATATCTGTCAGACTGTGTAATGGATACAGATTCTGTATTGGCTAAAATGTACTCATTAGTGTTAGAATTAACAACCAAAATTAGAATAGACTTACTTCGTTTCTGAAATTGTTTTGATCGACATGTCAGCTGTATGTACTTAAATCATTGATATCAAGAATTCGAACCACAGATTTTCCAACATTCTCCACCACAATCCCTGTGGCTGGTGGAAGATAATTCTGTGGTGTTTGAATGAACCAATGATACCTTTGTACTTGTTGAATGCTCGATTTCGAATTCCAAATACAATACATTCGTTTGTGCTTGTGTCTCACTTCTTAATTCAATTGCGTTATTTCTGGGACTCTTAGTTCGTGCTATAATTCAAATAATTCAAAACATTATAAATTCCCATGATAATATTTAGCTTCGCAGACTGTAAACACCTTATAGTGTGGCGTCTAGTCGCGATTGACTATTAACATCACTACAAAGAGGTTGAGTAACAGAAGGCGGTTACAGGTTGTAACGAGTTATATTCGTTGGCTATCTCATGGTATCAAACGAATACAGAGATCGTGCCAAAGAATCAGTGGGCGAACGTAAGAGCGTACAAGGTCACAATCAACGCAAGGAAGAACGGAAGAATAATAATGGATGTCTTTAGTACAGTTAAACAAACGAGTACAGTAAAACAGTCACTGGTACAATTGGTTATAATAATAATTGTTTCCATTAAACCACTCGCGTTCTCTTGAGTAAACTAGGTCACTGCAACCTCATACTCGAACGGAAAATTCATCCTTAAGTAGCTTTGATGGTATCCCCTTCATTACAAAGCGTGTGAAAATTCCATATTGCAGTATCTATCGGAACAATTATAAACAAACACGAGCTTGAGTGACGTTGAGAGTGTAATTCATCACGACGAATGAGCAAAGTATTGAAAATTTCCACCGACTGTAAATCATGTTCATTCACTGTCTTATAGTTAATACATTCTACTTTTATTTCTTGGAATGAACTTTGAAGTTTCTCTATTAATTCCTTTCTGAATTCAAAATATTTATGTCAGCAATCGACCGATCAAGAACTTGAGTTCCCCTTTGCTTTCTAGAATTCCACATCGCGGTCTGTTTCTGATACCGAAGTATAAAACTTTTGATTTTCTGATCGCTTTTACTCGATTTTCGGAATTTATTTCTCTCTTCGCTAAATGTAGTACACAGCATATGATTAGGTAGTAGCTCCTTCAGAGATTTATATGACAATGAAATCGGTGCGAATACAACAAACTCCACAGCTTAAACGGGAACCTAGACCCTCTTTATTTATCGTATACCGTCTTAGGTTCATCATTTATCTGTCGAGCTGGGTATTGTATATAGACTCTTTATAACCCTTTGTAGATTGTGGGAAATCAATTCCTCGATACTATGTAAAATCGATCAATTGCGAACGTAATTTTTTTGGTTAAGCGACTTCACTATTGTTTATTCGGCATACGGTCAGAAACGTCTACACTGAAAGGCTTTATCATTGCTCATTTAGCGTACGGTCCGGTAATTCTGCGCGGAAAGACTTTACCTCACATCATCCCCGAGTCTATGAATTTTGCAGCGGTCATGGAACTAATGTCTATTTTCAAGGTCGTGATGCTTCTTGCGCACTGGAATGAGAAAGATTTGAAGTTCCATGTAATTCTTTGCAATCCAATCCCATAGTCGACAATTTATCAGGAATTTCTTTATGACCGTCTTAGGTTGTCAACAAGGAAAGCTGTCCTTGAAGCATCCCTAGTCATTCCAGATCCAGGATAGAGGGTCCGCGACCCGTGATGAGGAATTCACATGTTGTGCTTGGAGACTTGTCGTCTCTAGTCAGTAAATTACAACACGTAAAAATAGGAAGTTAATGACAAGTAATACTCGAAATGGAAATTCTTATAGATTTAACTAAATTATCGGAATTTAATGACTTCAACTTTCCATCTGAAATTATGGGTTTGATAATACCAGTGTCAGCAATGAAATCGTGAAAAGCACCACTGGACAAATATAATCGTTTGTGAATATGAAGTGAATTACTGGGAGTTGTATACAAGGATATTATAATAAAGGATAACAAAATATACAAATCACATAAATTATTGGGATCGGAATTGCAAAGTTCAGTATTACTTGCGGTTAAACAAACAGTAGTTTGACAAACCGACTGGGTGTGTCCCATTTTACCATACTCAAAGCATTTAGCGTGATAGAAGACACATGAGTTACGTGAGTGAAATTTACCTCAAGACGAGCATTAACGGAACTTATCTCCACCTCTGTGACCCGCTTCCCAAATCCTCAATAAATTGTCATTCATGTTTTCATGAGAACGATGATTATCACTAATTAAACGCCAACGCTCGCGACCCTGAGTAAACATCAGTTTGGGGTAACTAATTAGCGTAGCAGAATTCTTGACGTCCTGGAGGTCAATCCTATGCACTGCTTCACAATTAATACACGCACTTCGAACATCTTGGAAGAAACATTTCGGGATTTGTATGAGCTCTCTTTCAAGATTTTGTATGTTAATTTCCACAACAATGAGTTACACAGCTGAACATGCGATTGGTAATGAAGATCGCACTTGATGGCTTGTTTAAGCAATCCGAAGATGAATTCTGTAACATTCTGGTTCTTCTGACGAACCATTCTATGAGATTTCGCTCTTTCATGACATCTGAAGAAGACAAAAGACAGAGTCGAGGAGATCGGAAGAGTATATTTGGCGATGACCAATATATCGGAATTCTCTGATCTAATCTTGCTAGCGATTGCGGTAGATGTTGAGCACGGCGTTACCACACGTGATCTGGTGCGGATGCATGACCGAGTGCCTTCAGCTAGATGAGTCCACTAAAACATATGGTCAGCATCCAATGTCGAAAACTTAGTGCTATTTATTTTGGGGATTTATTTACCGCTACAAGTTGCCCGAAATGTTGCTACCCCTTCTACCCCAGTATTTCCCCTAAACTGACTACATTTTCCTTAAAATCAAGAGATTGGGTGGAACTTTTGAGCAGAATGTATTACATTTGTAATTCATAATGAGCATGCAATCACTTAAAAATTAAATATAAGTCGATACAATTATCTCGCAAATATATTTCGTGAAAAACTAAAGAAAATGCTGCTCGTCACTATTGTAATTTATCTCAATAATTGTAGATACTATCATCTTCCATTCTCACTGCTGAATTCCTAACAAGTGATGTTCTTGAGGACGTTTCGGAATACATATATGATATAGATAATCTTGCGAAACTACTACCAATCAATTGACAGCTTGAACTTGTTTAACTATCCTATTGTGGATTCTCTCACCTTGATCGAGATATAAGAGATATTGAATTTATGGAGGTCAGAAGGAGAAATGTGCATACCACCAACAAAGGTCCGAGGCCTAGTGTCTCACAAATAGTAAATGAGCTAGATGTCTTCCCAAAACTTCCACGAGAATGCAAAAAATCAACATGGAGTGGTGGTCTAGGTAATTATATACGGTTAAAAATCTCAAGTCTTCAGTTACTATTCTAACATTTTGTTGCATATCTTGGTTGCTTATAATGGAATGTCGAAGTTATCTTGATCCCCCCGTCAATTATTCTTACGAACTAGATAAATCCACCTCTCGGTAAGGATTTTCTTCTCCAGATCTCGTTCTAGAAAAGTAAAAGTCAATATCGACATTGTTGTTGCCTCACCATGCCATGGTAAGTTTCTCACATCTACATGACATCTTAGATATTTCAATGGATGTGGTGGATACTTCTGGGTCCTCTCTGTCTGATGAAGAGAATATTCAGTACTTACCAACATCTTTCGAACTTAGCCCATCAGCCCGAGCCGCATTCAAAGTATGTATCCTGAACCGTAATTCCCATGGTTTTATCTTTTTCCAAGTACCATAATTCTCCCTGCATTATACTGTTAGTATTAATATTTCTGGAACGGAAGGTGCATAAGAAGAGTTTCCTGAGTTTCTTATCTAAAGAAACGAACTCATAGTTCACCTATTGATATGGTGAACATTATATTACCTTCGTACATGCGTCCGAAAATTCGTCATACTGTTAATTTATTTAATTAACTCGGTTTTAAAAGCATGTTACGCAGAGTTCTTCACCAAACTAGTTTCATTATCCTTTGGTAGTGTTCGGTAATTTTTATATTCATCGTCAACGTTTCTAGGCAATGAATTCCTAGAAAAATTATTATATGTTTGATTTTCAATAATACATGTATAATTTCGGCCAAACCAAATTCAAAGTTTTTTTAAAGTTGTGCTCCACGGAAATCTCGTCAAGAACTTGAGCTGAAAGTCAAGGACAACACTAAACTTCTTTCATCATGCTATTGTTCTTTATTAAATTGTTTCCTAACGTTCACAAGGTCTAGTTTTTAATCGTGTAGACTTCCCAGATATGTTTGATGCTCCCAATGTTTGGTCGTTATTCTGTGATATTTTCTTCTTATACTTCAACAGTATCGACAATATATAGCTGGGGCTCTCCGTGCAAAACATCATACTATACAGCATTGGTTGTGGAAATATGCCTCTGAGACAAGTGTTTTCACAGACTTTGAAGTCCCTGTGGTTGACAAAAAGGTTTCTGATGACCGAAATTCTGATGCTTGTCGAATCGTTGGTACTTTGTTCGTTAAAAAGGTTGGGGGAAACATACATATACTATTTGGGAAGTAAGTAACTATTCCTTTACTATTTGAAGACATTAGCGTTTTCATTTATGTCGTATGTACTCACATATCAATCATTGTACACTAGAATATTCGACCATATAAGTTATTTAGAAATATCTTAGATTATCAGATCCACAATTTCTATACTATTCACTAGGTACATTTTCTTAACAACCCGCTTGTTGTTTGTATCACTTATATTCAGATATTCAGATGTAGAAATAGTGATTTGTTCGGCCGGAAAACCCATGGGTCCCCTGTTGACTCGTTACTAATTGTTCTATATGTTAAGGGGTTTAAAAGCATATGTCTAACAACGGAAATTTGATAAATTATATCACCTTTATTAAGAAATCCAAATTTGTCTCATGTCTGTCCTTTTTTCCTTGTGCCAAAGATATATCATTGGGTTAATTTGGATGATACTGCATGTATCGTTTGTTTTATCCTCTTGGAACATTGTTTTGTTATAAGTTTTTGAACATAATTTGAATTGGTTAGTTCTCACTTCACCAAGAGCACCACCAAACTTGCTAGTGCGACATGTTAAATTATATTGTGAAACTGAGTTGTGGTATTAGTCATCTTTACGCGTGTACTTCGTCAAAATTAGAGAAAGAGTGTACTTTTACTCATCTTCCAAATTATTGAAGTTTGAATTTGTCGGAATAGTTTAATATATCAGTAGGTACTTTGAGTGGATTGTTTGAGGCGTCAGACTTCCAATTACTGGATCCAAAGAACGCCCAAACGAGGACAAAACCGTCAATGTGGGGTTCAGGGTTAAGACAAAACAATTGTCCTTCGCTTGTTAGTTGCCAATAATAGTGCTCTAGCTGGAATCATTTAACTGACTTCCACAAACCGCTTAACTCAAGAATTAGTAAAATCATTAAATCTTGCAATTCACCATGTCTTGAAGCGTATATTTTTTGCTACGGTTCGTGCGACATTCTATTATGTGTATAGAGTTCTCGTACATTACTCTAAACCTTAAGTCCGTTCGTTTGTTATTTTTTTGTAGATTTTTCGCATTATTTTTTACATCCTTCATTTGGCGATTGTGTTCACTTTCTTTTGAACTATACTCTTTACTCTCACCTCGGTTGACAGTATTGCTCTTGTCAGTTTTGTCATTGACTTTAGACCGTTATGGCCCGTTCTAAGTCCTCCTTTACTGTTAACTGACTGACCTGCTTATCATCGTTTGTATAACCAGGTAGTACCACAGGTTTTTATATAAACATTGTAACTCTAAGCTGAGTGTATAAATCTGTAATTGATTACTTAATTATACTAGATAAATTGTAGGGAGACATGATTAAAAAATATCCTAAAAAGTTAACATGGTCTTTAAAAGTCTTTTCTATTTTGAATGAGTTAAAATACACGAAATATGTACTTTGCAAGAACGTTAGCAAAAATAGAAAGATTTAGCATCTCACACCCTTTAGTCCATCAGGAATCAAAGCAAATACCTTTAGGTCTCGCGGCAGACGATTAATCATTAAGTCCTCTTGGTTGGGGTCGGGTGGCACTCATTTACAACTTCAACTAATGGGCAATATACCACGACAATAATCAGATAGCATTGGTGACAAATATTTTTTTCTGGAGATTTATGAACTCCACTGGTCATGACTTCCCATTAACGCTTCATCAGCTCGTCTTTAAGTCACTAGTGATCTGAAGACTTATTCTGGATAGTGAAGTTTTCTTCTTAGTAGGATGAAACGACGTTGTTATTCCTAGTTTTTGATTATCTCGAACTACAACCAATTCGTGTTGAATATCCTACAAAATTGAAATAATCTTTAAAATCTCTTTTATCTAGAATTGAAATTTTTGAAATAAGTATATGGTATATATATGGAGTAGAAAATAATAAAGAAATGTATTGTATATATATCAAGCCACCTCTTACCCCTACAAAGAATGCTAAATGATGTAGGAGTAGGTTAGAAAGAGCCTCGCGACGACCAAGTCAAGATGTGACATCATCCTTATGAATTGTTGACTGTTGACTTAAACTATATAGTGTGGTGTTGACTTCCTAGTTGGGGTCCTCGCTGCAATTGTGCCCAGTGGTCTAAGAAGTTTGGTAAAATGTTCCAAATTATTGGCACAGATGCCTTCCTTAATCATCTTCTAAATCCTGTGTTTAAATACTTCATATTTTCGGTTTATCGGTTTTATTCTTTCTCTCCGAACCGTGTTGTTTGTATTCAGGCTCATATTACCATGATTTTATACTTTCTATTGTGCATCATGTTAGTTTGCTCTATGGCTATACTGTGGCAACTTACGTCTCTGCATATTTGTTTCAAGTTTTATGTTGTTTATAGGTGATTGACCAAAGGGTTCCATTACTTGTATTGGTCGTTAACTTACTACTCACTTTATTTTGTTTCCACATCTTTCCCTTTCCTTCATGATTCGTTTACAGACCTCTGAACGGGTTCGGTAATTTTCATCTACATGTTGTACCATTTTCAAGCCAATCGGGTGAGTCTTTTAAATTGCAAGGGGACGTTATTAAGAGCTTTTTAAAAGGCACCCGTTTTTATGTACCATTATTGAATATCAGGTTGTTCAAACAAAAAATTTCTAGTCTTCGGTCATATGTTTGAACACCTCTTCCCTACTCCGGTCACACCAGCCGGATATTATAACTAGCTTCTACATAAAGTGTGTGGTTTCAAGTGGATCCCATAAAGGGCATGTGCTTTCTAAATAAGTCATTTGTTTAATCTTCAATGTTTTAAGGTTTTCAAGTACTTACAATACCTTTCGTACACAAGACTATCCCGTTGTTATAAACAAATCATGGAGATGTTTTCATCAATGATCCCTATTTCCACGTTCAGTCCAGTTACTATTAAAAATCAGGAAACTCAGAATGAGTGCTTCTCTATGCTTTTAAGCTCATTAATGTCCATTATATTTTATTCAGCGCAGATTCCAGCAAGTCACCTTTTGTAGTGGTCGCACAAGTTTCTTGATAACAGTGGAGATATCCATTTTAAAACGCCACTCTTTATTTTGTACTTTGATTTCCTCAAGATATCAGTACAGTTACTAATAGTGTTCGATTAACATAAACTCCGCCTAGAGTCCCTCCAGGGGCTGCTGCCGATCACAAGCCCGGATAAAAGAGAAGGGTTGGGCATGGGGTTAGCAACCCCATCCCATAGAAAACTAACTCGCTAAAAAACGCTAACCAGAAAAAGTTATTCAAACCATTTTAACTTTGCCCTGGGATAACAAAATTCATATTATGAAAGTTACACTTATGTTATCCCACAACGATAAAAAACATTTGTAGTTTGGGAGAAAATTTCGAAAGTGTTCTAATTTCTAAGTTGGATTCTTAAATCGTGAGGTTTTCATTGTCTTTCTTAGATAACATAATCAGTCAATCATAATCAATGTAAAGCCTGACATCAATGTACGTCAGCTCGAATTCTCATACCACATAGGCGTGAAAAAATGAATAGCAAAGGAGTCGAAACAGTTGTTGTATCAATAGTAATAAAAAATACAATTTTGAAAATGTGGTTCAAAAGAGTTGAACGAAAAGGTACGCATAAAGGAATACTGGAACTCGAGATCTAGAGAAAGATAAAAAGCAACTGGATCTGTGCCAGTGTTACCGCTTATGAGCCATGTCACCCAACCTTTTTGTTCGGTGATTACAGTTATCTCTCAAACTCCAACTAGATAGTCTAGATCGGTTATCATGGCTAAGACCAACAATCAATGAATTCATGGACTAATCTCACGTTTGGCTGCTCTTAGCTTACCTTCACCCCGATTGTACATCAGCAAATACCGCCCGTCGATGTGTATGATTGTTGAACATGCGTAATACATGTCCCAGCCAATTCTATCGATAAAGCTTCCCAACTTCGTTAATCAAATCGCCATCTTTAGTTATTTCTTTGCATCTAACCTGACTATTACTCACTCAGTTGCTTCACAAAGACATCTCTATAATTAAAAACCTTCAGTCTTCTCACCCCTCGTACTTCCATGGACCATCTTGCACAACCATGGGGAGTGATACAGCGAGGATTGTTGTGCAGCATTCTCTCCATTTGGTTGACAGACGAATAACATTGGGGTTTACTTCATAAAGAAGTAAGGTATCAGAATTTATTCACGAGTGACTGATACCAAATTTTTTTAGTTGATCAACTTTATCTCACAATTATATTGTCCAGTAATTATCCACTTATTACTTGCTTGTTTTTGGGTTGTGCATTGATAGTTTTGGTATTTAGGAAGATAATGAGAGTTCCACAAGTTAACCATTCAGTTTAAAGAACGGGATATTTCTAAAACACTGTAGTTTACACCACGGAATTACCTCCGTTGGACAACTACTGAAAGTCAGGAGACATTAAACAGTTTCGTTCTAATGTGGGACTCCTCAACAGCACGCATGCACAACCTTATGGGTGATCAGACTCTAGCTAGACCTTCAGGTCTTACGACAAGCTCTAGACTCCTAGATCATTGGCTTGCTATTCAATAGTTTAAATGTCTAAATTAAATCAGTTCACAATATTGTTTGACCATCCAATGGTATTTGTTGGTAAAAGTCCTCCAACGCGACATGGTTAGAGTTTACTTTTTACGGTTTCTCGCTAGAACTTTGAGAACCGCCTCTCGAAATTACTCACGACTGAGCACAAGGTAAGTCCGTGATGTAAACCATAAAACTCAACAATCTCCACAAACTCCTTACGCTTTCAAAAGGTATTTTTCATACATATTATTGTGCAATTAAAAAAGTATTCTATTGAAAATGATTAGTTTTCAACCTCTTCCCTTTTCTCTTCTTTGTTGATTTTAGTTCAAAATTTCAGTCATCGAATAAATCATTTTTCTTTTGGTGATCTAGTTAATGGACAAATACATCCGTTAGAAGCTGTTGAATCTGTTACTGATGTTGGTGAGTTTCTTTTGATCACAAGAGAATTTATTATAACTTGAGCTAAATCACTCAAGTCAAAACTTGTAAATCCCATTTCCATTTACCTGTGTTATAACCTGTCCTTCTCTACACAATTCAAAAATATCGACTCCAGGATGACTGTATTGAGTAAAAATAACATAGTTACTCTCCCACACTATACCCTCAAAATTTTAATTCTTTCCCAACGTTAAAACAATTCTGATGTACAACTGTAAAGGATATATTTTGTGGGGGGAAAAAGTCCCAAATTTCCTTTTCAGTGATTCTTAATTATATTTAGCTAACTACAACCTAAAAACAAATTTCATACTGAATAAATACATAACGAAAATTGTCAGAATACAGTGCAATAATATATTGAAGTTATTGACAAGTGAATTTTAAACTGAACGATTATTATATTGAATCCCCTAATGATCTTACTGTTTTAGTCACTTCTTACCAATTAGTCAGTCAACAACGTAGATCTTCGTACGTACATACATCAGTTCGAGTTGCCATACCACATTAACCTTCTTATCAATAAGGTCAACTGAAATGCAAAGCTAAATAAATTTATGTATAGTTAGAAAAGAACAAATGATATTGATAAACAAAGCTTATTTGATAATTTTGTGTTCAAAATCCAGGGGGGGATAATGAATGTAACTTAATCGCTGTTATAACTTATGGGTTTGTGCCCCTATCAATGTAATAACGTAATGATACCGCCAGTTAGAGAACAATGAATTATCAACCGGACCAATGACGCCTAAAACACATGCGGACAGTCTAGAGTATTTATCGGTCCTGCTTCCTGCCTAGCCCAGCCAGTTAAGTTCAGAACACCAACCTCAGCCTCTGCGATATGAATCACTTATTTCAAACATACTCACTTTATATACCAATCAGACAGACCACATCGTACCATAAAATAGGAAACCACATCTGTACAAGATTTAGCCAAAAGTGGCTGTGAATGTGGGAGATAGTAATTGATAGACGGGGTATAACTCAATAATGGTAAATCGTATAATAATAGTTCATAGGTGAAAATAAGACTCATAATAAGAGGGGACATGAATATGAATAGTTTAGTTATTTAACAATTATACGATAAAAATAAGCGCTTAGTATTGGTCCATAAATGGATCCCTACAGTTACTATTCATTATTCCCATCGGGATATAACAATTACCGTTGTTGCTACCTTGACGTGGTGGTCGGGCTTGCCTATCGTGATGAAGCAACCGAGCTATACTGACTGGAACAACCGTTCCTCAAGGTCCTACCATGTCAGACAGGTCGGTTGAAGAGCGGTAAGACTAAAAGCAACAAACCCAAGGTCCGAAGGCGAAGTCGTACTGCTGACTGTACAGAGGTGTGACAGCAGTAAGGTGTTTCCTTCAGACAACCAGCATGACAGCGATGCTGCCTTCCCACAAGGAGGGGTGGGGTTAGAAAAGGTCGACCCTAAAAATGCACACCTCACCTTACCTCACGGATTTCCGTCTCCGGCGGTAAGGCCCTTTGAAGAACGGAGCTAACACATCGAAAACCTTCCACGAAAAGGCCGTGCGCGACCGGCCTCAAGCAGTTGTCCCTTGGGCACTGCGGTCACGCTCTCAGGTCACTGAGACCACCTCTAATCCAATTTCCTTTTCAGGTACCTCCAGAAGAACCCTTCCACGGTGTGGGCAACCGGGAAGTGATAACCGCCCTCATACCTCTAACAGCACCCAAGACTTAGTTAATTTCAACTCGTCTCACATACACTTCCTGTACTGATATGATATGATTTTCTGCTCGTTTTTTTTAAGCGTATTTTCAATCTGCTATTGTGACTGTTTACATTGATCGTCATGTGCAACATGTATATCAATTATTTTAGTTGATCAAAGTTTACACGATCATCATTCTTGTCATCGTTTTACTGAAGATCCCATTCACAACCTCAGGATCACTCATTTAACGGTCCTCGCTTCCATTTGTGTTAAAATGGTGTTGCTGATGTTACTTGCTATCCGTGAGGAAAAATTTACTGCTACAATACTCCAGTACAGTCTCCGGCACAACTTTACATTAAAATTTGTGGTTAGGAATTAAGGTGTTTGTTTGTCGACTTTAAAGAGATTTAACTGGCTTTAGTCGGTTATGAAGATATATATATATATATATATATATATATACACTCCATGCTATCTTGGTGTCTCTCTCATATACACCGCACTTGCACACATGCTCACATTATTTAAATACACCCAAAATGTAACTTTGTTTACCAGAAAAAAAACACAAATATATCCATTGTAACCTTTTGTATGTTAATTGTTTCTTCAAATTTAGCCTTTACATCATTTCAATATTTTGTCACAATGGTCCCTACCAAAGTGGTTAATCATTTTCATATTACAGAAACTTATCAGTATGCAGCAACTTTACAGGTGATTATTAATATTTTCTTAAAGTTTAAATCGTTTAATATTAGTAATGAATGTTTTCATTGATAATTATGCTAAAAAATTTACCCAATGTATTTATTGCAAGAAAATGTTGAATTTTAGGGTTGTAGATTAGAACTGTATTATGCCTACTTCAGTTTGAGAAGTGTCTGAGGCGAGACTATGATTTATGGACGAGTCAATCAGATTTAAGATAAGAGGTCTTGGATTTTAGCGCAAAATTCATCCACTCATTTGGCTAAATACTATTTCGGCATTATAGCTGATGTCAGTTCGTAATGAAAACCCTAAATCTACTTCCCAACCCTAAACAACTGTAGATCATAATTACAATTCCTCATACTGGTTTATAACCCTCGTTTAGTCCTAGTTAGTAGGTGGATATTTTCAAGGTTATCTTAGCGTTGCTCAAAGGTCGTCCATAAATTATAGTCCCACCGTGTGTTAGCTGACTTGTCGAGTGGATTGGTGTCCAAGACTACTAAGCAATAGGATTAGCTGGGTTATAATAAGAGAGAATTATAACACCCACCGTGTCTGATCGTACCATAAACCTGTACTTGTTCACTGAATTATATTACAGTACTATATGAAAATATAATTAACGTGCATTATTTTCTAGATATTGCTATCATACAACGTGTAGTTATTGTTAGTGCTTCTGCTCGCACACATTAGTTATTCTGTTATTGTCCCAATTCAAGAGTGTAGTCTTTGAAAAATGTTTAAAAAAAACACATTTAACTAACTCACTTATCAAGGTATAAATCATTGCACTCAACATTTAGAGTTAATTATAATACCACCTAATCATATTCAAACAACAGTAAATTGATCTGGATTTCGAACATAAAGTCAAGTAATTTAAAGTTCAGGTGATTTATACAAGTTACTGTTTATTTAATTATAGTTTAGTGGCCCGTAGATCTGACTCCTATCTAGATCGTACGAATGTTTGTTATCGCCTATTCTCGTATATAATCGTCGACTTAAATCACGTTAGTCAATAACGGGATTAAATAAGTCAAATATCGAGAATGGGATTTTGAATATACATATATTTTGTATATGAGGTGAATGGAATAGCAGGAAGAGAAGCGACGCAGAGTGGAGATGGCTGGTAAGCCAACTCATTTTTAGTCAGGCGTTAATTAATGTTTATAGGCAGACAAAAATAAGCTACAAACATGTGATGAGACATGGGATAAGAAGTGTACACACATATACGCTCATATAAAAACAGTCAAGACTGATAAGCGAATAATTGACAAGGTCAAAATATGACTCAAGTAGAATAGAATGAATAGAATGGGATGTCCGAAAGCTAGAATAAGGTATATAGGCTTAACATAATAACTGACACTACAATAGACAAAATATGTATACAGTTAAGTGTATCATTTTAGGAATTATAATTTTGAATTAAAGAAAACAGGATACTCAGAGCTACTTAAGTGATTATGTAAACAATTACAAACTAATCGATATATTCCAGAGTTAGTCATTCGTAGTTGAAAGAATCACGTAGTAAGATGGAGGTTGGAGGTAGTCAACAGGAAACCCTAGACCCGGGTTATCATGCTACTTGGCACTCGTCAGCAAGGTGTACCTGTAATCTTGAGGGAACTGGTGCCTCCTGACGGATTCGACCCCGTATCATACAACTTCACAGCCAGAGACGTTACCACTGAGCTCTCCGGGCCGCGACCGACCTCCTGTAGGATTGAAATGTAATCAAAATTGATTGATCACTTGGTGGTGATCAATGTCATGTGTGTCAAGTCCTTAATGCAGATCGAATGCTATCGACCAAGTTGCATTGTAATCTAGGTGATTCGACATTGCGTGCATTATTTTGAGATAAGATGGTACACCTTGCTGACGAGTGCCAAGTATCACGAAACAGGGGTCCAGGGTTTCCTGTTGACTACCTCCAACCACCATCTTATCTCAACACAGTGCACGCAATGTCGAGTCACCTAGACTAGTGGCCACATTGCAACTTGGTAGATAGCATTCTATCTGCACTAAGAAGGACTTCACACACATGACATTGATCACCACCCAGTGATCAATCAACTGTGAAAGAATCACGTAGTATTGGTCTGATGATTAAAGGGATCCGTTTTCAGCCAATGCATTTCAGATTTGAACCCCACTTTACCTACCTCCTTTTAAGTAAAATAAATAACAGTTATAGTGTTGGCTCTCACAGTGCTAATGTAGCCTAAAGGAACGTTCATAAGCCTATACGCGATAGCATTACATATGGAGAAAATTAACACCACAATCTTTTGAAAAGTAAATAGTTCACCTTCCTGCCAATTAACATATTATTATTGCCATTAGTCAACTAACTAAAAACAGGGTACTGGAAGTACATTTTCACCGGAAAAACTTTCCAAACCTTCATATCATAGTCATCTCATGAAAACTATTAATAAAATGTAAAGTAAATAGAATTTTAAATAGCAGTAGGAAACTAAGACAAAAGAATGTGGAAAAACAAAATCAAATGACTCCTGTTATAAAAAAAGGTCAAAACAGAATTTTAAAGAGAATAGAAAGCGAACGCACCTGCACAAACTCTTTAGATAAGGTCTCCAACGGTTGACTACAGTTATCGCGTAGACTTCCAATAAGTAATGTAAACAAAGTGACCTCGATTACTGTTAGATATATCAGGGTATTTATCACTTCCCAACCTCCCATATCCTAAATCCATACTTCTCTTTCTGGGACATGGAATAGACTGATTTAGTAGTAGTGGTCTCGATCAAGTGGGAGTGTGATCACCGAGTCCGTGGGACATCTGCTCGAGACCGATCACGAAACCCTTTGAAAGTAGCTATTGATGTGTTAGGTGTGTATTTTTAAAGTTATCACGAGACAACTAGGTGAGATGTGGTATTTTTAGACGTCACATTTCCTAAACCCCTCATTCTGTTGTGATAAGACACTATCGAACCAGATGCTGGTTGTCTGATGGACAATCACCTTACTTCTGTCGTACCCCAATACAATCATCACTATGAATTCGCTTTCGAACTATGACTTTAGTGTTTCTAATCTCACACTCTCCAATCGAACTGTCTGGTGTGGAAGGATGTGTATTCTAGTTAATATGACTCGATTGTGTCACCATCATAGACAAACCTGATCATCACGTCAAGGTGACAGCTACGGTTGGGAAGTGAAATTCGACCAGGAGATATTCACCTCTTTGGCGAACGAGATCAAACGATAGTGAGTTAATTAGCATTGCTGTTAAGATTTTTAGTAATCGCGATGAATATTATATATTCAATGGGTAAAGATAATATGTCGAAATAGTAATTTTGCTAAATAGATCAATTATAATTTCAAATGCTAATTTCAACAAATGAATTGAGACATGCTGTCAACACCTATAATAATCAAGTCATGAGTTGAAAAGCCTTATTAAACTCAACGAATTGAAATTAATGGGAGAGATGACGAAAGAGTTGAAATGATAGTAGTATCAATTATGGTATTGAGAAAAACTGAAAATTGATCAATACATATTAGTAATTTCCCGTTGATGATATCCAGGATCGCAATTAATCAGTCTGCTGTTATATGTACACCCTGAATCGATTCTCTCATTTATAGTCTTTTATTTCAAGTTATTATATATTCAGTATGTGGCTAGCAGTGGGATTTAAGACTCATATTTCGTCTTACTTAAGACTCGTCAAATAAGGCGAAACGCTTATCTTAGTTTCGACTGATAGCCAAATACCAAATATACAATAACTTGTAGCCAAACGTTGTATCAAGGTAAACCACTAATGATTTACATATGGCAACAGATTAATCAACTTCATTCTTGAATATCAACAACAAGAAATTACTTTCATATAATTTGAACAAATTAGTGAATATTTTGATTCATTAATTAAATAGTTATTCATTTTTGTTTTAGTTTAGAGCTATTCAGGTTTGTATCATGAAAAGGCTTTCCACGGTTTATGCACAGTTTTAACTTCACTCAATCTATAATTTGTAGAATAATTTCATAGTTTGTTAGTTGGAATAAATAATTTTAGTATTCTAGTCATTCATAAGTTTCAAGTTGAATTATACATTAAAATGTAGTTTGTTAAGTCGTAGACATTACTATGACTTTCATTGTTTATATACTTTCCAAAAGAATATTTGGTGAGACTATAATTTATGGACGACCTTTGAGCAACTCTCAAGTGCCCTTGGAATATCCACCTACTTACTGGGGTTAAATGAGGTTTATATGTAAAGAATTAGGATTAAGATATACAGTTGAACGTTAGGCCTAGGAATTAGATTTAATATTTTCATCATGAAGTGACATCAGCTATAATGTCAAAACTTTATTTAGCCAAATAAATGAGTTACTTTCCCGCCAAAATTCAAGGCCTGTTATCGCAAATCCGATTGATTCGTCCGTAAATTATAGTCTCGCCCTAATGAATATATATTTGTAGAAGATCCAATGAAACGATTAACACTAAAATGCTATAAGTCAGGAATTCAGTTTTCCATTAATTGAAATATTGAACATTTGTTATTTTTATACAAAGACGGATAGTGGCTAGCAGTAGAGTCCAGGACGCGCGTTTCATCCTATCTGGGACACGTCAGTTGGATGTAACTGCATCTCAGAGTTGATCACTCTGGGACTCGTATCCAGTACCGTTCGCTTCAAACGCCATCGCGTTATCCACTTAGCTACTAAGTCCTGTTAGCCACTTGGTTGTGCAATTAGGTGAAGTTTAAATTCACTTTGTATTGTTTGTTTGAATCTTCACATTGATGTTTAGGATGAAACGCGCGTCAAACTGGATTCCACTATCAGCCACTATCCATCTTTGATTATAATGCTTGTTAATTAAGGCAATACGCACAAGATGTATATATGCCAATAAGAGACTGATCAATTGCAGTTTTAAACATCAATAGGAAGATTCAAGTAAACAATACCAAGTGAATTTGTTATTTTTGTTATAAATTGAGAATACAAAAGATTCTCTCTTTTATTTCAGTTTCAATGTTAATTCATATATACAAACACAAAGAATATTTCTAAGGTTACCGGTGGTGATGTTGACCTTAGAATTCTAGATACTTTTGAAAATGTTTCCAATATTAATAATTATTTTAATTAGTTAGTTTAAAAGAAGACTCAATTTCATCATATTACTTATTATTGTTCTATTCTTCTCTTATATTAATTTTAGAATAGAACAATTAATCATGATGCTGGAAGTCATGGAATACCTGGAATATTTTTTGTTTATGATACTTTTCCATTAGTTGTAAAAATAACATATGATCGTGAATTATTAGGTACATTTTTTACTCGACTTGCTGCATTAGCCGGTGGAATATTTGCAACAGTTGCTTATCTACGTGAAATATTATCAAATTTACCTGATATTTTATTTAGAACACGTTTAGGTCGTCAATGGAATAATAGTTGGACACGTGGAAAACGAAATATTTGCATTAAACTATCTGAACATCTTCCAAATAGTTTAGATAAAACTGGTTTTTTAACTCCATCATTAGAGAATGTATTAAATCCAGACTCAGATACTTGATTTAGACAATTTAGTCTCCAGTTCAATGAATTACTCTACTGTAGTCATTATTATTATTATGAACCCTATTACTTTTCACCAGCTCTATCTGTTTTCTGTATCTAATATTACCTTTTCTGTGATTTGTATTTATCGGCACAATGTTTATGTATGTGTGTGTGTGTGTGTATAAATGAGTGTAACTTTTTTTGTCTTGTACTGCTGAATTACTTTTGTGTACAGTATCTTTGACCTTTAATATCCAATGTATTCACATACTTCACTCTAGTTCCTTTATGAAATTTTGTATGTTTCTAAAAGATTTTTTATTTTAATAAAATAATAACTACTAGTACTGCTGTTTATCTTGTGCATAATTGTTAAAATTAGTTTTCGGTTTGTTGTATATATTTCTATATTTTATTGATTTTATACCTGTAAGGAATGATATCTACTTAAAGAAACAATAATGGTGAAATTCTTGTTTGTTGATTGATCGCTGATCGCCGTGTTGTAAAGAATGTTCTAGTATCATTTTCACTAGATTCGTTAACAAAGTTCGTTGTTAATGATGAATAATCAGAGAGCGATTTTGTGGATATTATAGTAATTTAATAGTTGAATTCATGAGTCATTTGAAACTACAGACCACCATGAAAGACCTAGAAGCACTAGACGGCCGTTTCGCCCTAGTATGGAACTCCTCTTCAATCCCGCCTCGCGAGATTCGAACCTAGGACCATCAGTCTCGCGCGCGAGACTAAATTTCTAGTGAGAAGCTGTGACCAGTGGATTTCAACTGGATCTGTTGTGTAATAGCAACTCACTGAAGACAGTGGTGGACGGTGGCTCAATTTCGTGGGTTGGTTGAAGTTAGACATTAACACAGTTGGATGCCGGTCGGTTCAGTGGTCTAGAGGTTAAGCGTTCGCGCGCGAGACCGACAGGTCCTGGGTTCGAATCTCGGGGGGCGGCATCGTGGATGCGCGCCGTTGGTGAGTTCCACAGTGAAACGAAACGGCCGTCCAGTGCCTCCAGGTCTTCCATGGTGGTCTAGCGTCAATTGACACATGAATTCAACTATTAATTGATGAATAAGACTGGTAATGACGACATGTTATCATTGTGTATGTTTGCATAATTGTAGACAGTTGAAATAATGCATATAATCTAGATTTTATGATTATTAGTACTGATAAGAAAAAGTCTTATTTGATTAGTCAGTTAACAACGGGAAGCTTATACGTCACTGTTCATTCGTTAGTCGTGAACAATAATAGATTTATGCAAATGAATCCCGATCATTTCAGTAAGCATTAGAACCCATTAAAAAGCTATCGTCTCGTGAGTGTCAATTGAAAAGCCTTCATAAGTTAATTCAAGGGTCAGTGGTCCCATGGATTCATACTAATTTTTACTGTAATGCAACCTACTTCTTTGATTGCTAGAAGAACATATCAAGATAAGTGGTGCTTAAATATGTTAACACTTGTCTCAATCAACTCATTCTATGAAGTGCCGTATTCTGAAGGGCCAAATCCCCAATTCTGAAATCCTAAACCTAATTTTTGCATTGATCGATTGTTCAGTTATATGTGAGTAATGATTTGAACAAAACCATAATTGTAACTGACGAATGCCTTTTACCGTCGACAGTCATATATCACTGCAATAAACTAATCCAGAGTTTATTTCTAACTTTATGCTAACAAACAGAATGTTCATTTTGATTGAGATATTTTGGGTTTACTACGATGTAATTAGCTGAGCCCCAGCCGTTGTTGTTACCTTGACGTGATGATCAGGTTTGTCTATGATGGTGACACAATCGATTCATATTAACTAGAATACACATCCCTCCACACCAGACAGTTCGATTAGAGTGCGAGATTAGAAACACTAAAGTCATAGTTCGAAAGCGAATTTATAGTGATGATTGTATTGGGGTGCGACAGAAGTAAGGTGATTGTCCATCAGACAACCAGCATCTGGTTCGATAGTGTCTTATCACAACAGAATGAGGGGTTTAGGAAATGTGACGTCTAAAAATACCACATCTCACCTAGTTGTCTCGTGATAACTTTAAAAATACACACCTAACACATCAATAGCTACTTTCAAAGGGTTTCGTGATCGGTCTCGAGCAGATGTCCCACGGACTCGGTGATCACACTCCCACTTGATCGAGACCACTACTACTAAATCAGTCTATTCCATGTCCCAGAAAGAGAAGTATGGATTTAGGATATGGGAGGTTGGGAAGTGATAAATACCCTGATATATCTAACAGTAATCGAGGTCACTTTGTTTACATTACTTATTGGAAGTCTACGCGATAACTGTGGTCAACCGTTGCACAAATATCCATTCAGTGTATGAGGGACCGGGAACTGAGGACTGCCTACGTAACACTAACAAACTGAGTCAACTGATTTAAGTCATCAATGAAGTGTGTTTAAGCAAGTAACATTTTAAGAATATATCGATTAACTATGCGATATAATACATTAGCATTACTTCAAGCAATTAGTTATGATGATAGTTTTACATCTAGTTATTATGTAATAACTTTTATACTGATCATAATTAACATCAGACAAGTAAATAATCTTTCATCAAGAGCTTTATATTCCAGAATATGCTTTCATCTGTAACTAATAATTTAGCCTGGAATCAGATGTGTTCATTTCTTATTACTGTGTTAATACCATGTACAGAGTCGGTTGAAGAATGCTGGTCGGCGGCCTGTGCTCCATTGGCAGTAACAGGCGTAAATAAGTAATCACATGTACAATTGATTCATAGTTCATTAGGTGTATTAATTCCACTTGAAAAGAAAAGATTGATTCTTCTATATATTGTGGACACTGAATAAATATAACATACTTTTGGCATTTTTTAACTGTCTTGTCATTGAACAACGTGGCATTTATTCAATTTATATGTCATTAAAAAAATAACCTAAATAGATTGTTATACTTTTTAACACGTTAATTAAACGTTAGTAAATATGTAAATGAACATTGTGATAAGTGGTATTAACAAACAGTATTTTTATAGTGTTCACCGCTGAGCTAACTTTGGACAATCACTATGAAACATTGTACAATTGTTTCGTCCCTATATGGGGCTCCTTAGTAGTTCACATTCACGGCCATACTGTGAATGGAAACAAGGATTTTAAGGTAACACAGCTACATCTTTACTTTTAGACCACTATTCATCCTTTAAAAACGAGAACAATTCTGTCCAATTTCGTATTACCGTTTTATCGATTAAGTGATATTTCAAAGATAGACAGAATTAGGCTGAAATGTGTATAGGTTTTTTGTAAACGAACATACATGTGGGTGGTCTTATTACCATTACTATATTAATAATAATGATAATAACAGTAATAAATTTATTTGTCCAGTGATACGTTGGAACTCTTTATCTGAACAAACTGGTGATTATTCTCAGAAAGGGTTTCTTGGGGAAATTATAGTAATTTAGTAGTTGAGTTCATGAGTTAATCAAAGCTAGATCACCATGGAAAACCTGAAAGCACTGAACGGCCGTTTCCTCTTAACGCATGACTCAGCAGTGCGCATCCACGATCCCGCCTCGCGAGATTTGAACCCAGGACCTAACAGTCTCGTGCGCCAACGCTTAACCTCTAGACCACTGAACCGGCCGGCATCCAATAGTGTTAATGTCTGACTTCAATTAATACACGAAAGTGAGCCACACATCCATCATTACCTTTAGTGAGTTACTACCTTACAACAGACCCGGTTGAACTCCACTAGTTATTGGTAATTGATATGTAAATTTAGTTAAATTTTTTACTTTCAAGGATACATTTGTCAAAATTGAAAGTCAGTCACAATTAGAACCGGAATACTTGTAAATTTTCAGTACTGTTATGTAAAATCGAAATGATGAGTATGAATTCGAACTAACAATACAGTGTTAATTGATTGTAGGGTGAATGACCTATAAAACTCATTTCCATCAATAACCCTAGGCATTTAGTCACGTTCATTTATTGTGTTGAATCATGTTATTTGACTAGATGAAAAAAAAATATTTTTTCCTGATCAGTGATCTTTTCTTTTATTTCAGATCATTTGTGAAGGCTTAAATTGACAATTCAGTTTTGTGGACAGTGATAACTTCACCACACTCCATAATTACATGATAAATCTATCCAATCCCAATTCATAACAAAACTATATTTGCAACTACTACAAAATTATTCAACCACTCCAAGATCATGTTATGTAAAAACAATATGAAAAGGGCAACTTAATTGTTTAAATACCAGCCAGCACGCACTAATTAACTACAGTGTGATGTGATTTGATTACTATGAGAACTAATAAATTGAACTACAAACATTTGATCTGGAGAAGAGAAAGAAGAATTTGTAAATTGTCAGTAGTATTTAACATGTTAACCAACCAAACAGTCTATAGGCAGCATTTATCTCAAAGAAAAGGTTAAATAGTTGAATTAAGTATAACATTGAATACATCAACTTCATGGTTGAAAGGAATCAAAAATTCTTGAGAATCTGATATTATCGTTGATTGAAAATGACTCAATGAAGCTTCGTCCATTACACTAAAGAACGTAGTTTGGTATAATTGAACAGACCTTGGCGTGTTGGATCATTGTCTATGTTCAGAACAAATATTTGATTTTTAGTCGTTATACCCCGTGTGGATAGGACAAATATTATTGGAATAGTTTGATTATCTAGTCTGGTTATTTGTTAATTTGCCTGTACTAACTATTGGACTTGTGACCTAAACAAATTGATGTAAGCGAATTGAATGCAGCTTCCGTTCCTAGTAAAGATCAAACCGAGCTAGGTTCAAGTTTAGCTATCAACCTACAGAAATTGTGGGTGAACACTCGCTAGATTTTCATGACACGATGAGAGTGGTGAGTAAAGTTGCTTGAGGCTTTACGAAACGTCCCACTTACAAGTACTGGGTATTTACAAGCAGCTTAAAACTATTTGAGCCGCGTTGGTCTTTTCTGGCTAACTACGAGTTTGCCGATAAACACAGATTCTTACGCAAATAATTTTGCAAAGTTTGCGTAGGGACCGAGAAGCATGGTGGTTAGAGCCGGATAACGAGTTAAAAGCAGCAAATGCATATGGTAACTGCCGGAAACTCTTTCAACCCATCCGAGTCACTGGCAGCAAAATATCTAGTGTGAGTGAAAAAATATGTGGAGCTGATAGGATGCCAATCAATAACATCTATGACGTCTTGGACGATGGGCAGAGTCCTTCAAAGGAGAGCCCAGTCGATCAAACGCCCCGGAGACATCATCTAGACTGTCTTGTTCTTCATAGCCAATA